GATATGGTTAATTTCTTATCACAATATATCACCGTTGGACTAGATTATGTCAAATTAAGATTTTTTAGTATCTTCTTCATCCATATAGCTTGTTGTGCAATTGATGATTCAAGAACATATTCACCTTTAGATGATGATAATGCTGCAATTTTTTTGCTTCTTCTAACTCCAATTTATTACACCTAATTCAAGATTGAAAATAAATCAACTTGTGTACTTCTTCTCATCTATAGATCCAGCTCAATCACTATCAATAAGACCAACTAAGTTAAAATGAAGAACATGCTTGTATAAAATTCCATAAGTACTAGTATCATGAATATAGTGAAAAATTAGTTTTGCTTCTCTAAGATGGTGTTTTATAACAGAACATAAATATGGAAATTAAACTAACTATAAACATAATATATGGCCTACTATGAACTAAATATATTAATCCATCAACAAGACTTTTATAAAATCTTTCATTCACACTTAAAGTGTCACCATCAATTCACAATTCTTCAATTGTATTCATGATCATAAATATCTAAGGTTGCTCAATATACACATCTTCATTAAAATATACATTCAAAAATATAGGTTTCACATAAAATTAAAAATTTTATCATTTTATTTGAGTTTTATTTGTCAAATAATTCTAATAAGTTCAAATCTAACAATGGAAGAAAAGGTTTCTAAGTAATCGATACCATATTTATGTGTGTATATTTTTATTACTAATCTTGTTTTGTAGTTTTGAACATTTTCATTTAAAACATATTTGATTTTTTAAACCCACTTCATACCAATACTTTCATTTTTTAAAGGTAGATTTGCCAACTCTCATGTGCTATTTTTCTCAATTGAGTTAAATTTTTCTTTCATAAATTTCTCTCATCCTTGTTTTCCTTTTGCATCTTCATAATTTACTAGTTTTTCAACCATTAAGATAAAAATATGTGACTCCTATATCTCATTTAAAGGTCATCTCTTATTGGAAGGAGTTGATTTAGGACTAAAATCATTGTGGATGTCCCCACTAGTGTGTCTTAGAGTTTGTCTCCATGTAAAGCTTGATAAAGAAGACACATCAAGTATTGTTTGTTGAGCATGATGGTGTCAACTCTTGTATATTTTTAGAAAAATATATTTGGTGCACAAAAATATTATTTCAATTCCAGTAAGTATTTTTATCAAAAATAACATTTCAATGGATAAGTAATCTCCTTATTTTATGATTATACAAATTATAACCCTTAGTTTCATTGTTAAAATTAATAAAAATAGATTTTTCACTCTTCATGTTCATTTTGCTGAGATCATTATAATCTTCTAAAGAATAAACGATACAGCTAAATACCTTTAAATGACTAACATTATTTTCCTATGAAACCATACCTCATATTGGGGTCATATTTATGACTACATTTGTTGAGAAAATATTGGCAAGATAGATGACATTGAAACTACACTCAAAAATTATTCGAAAGTTGCTTCTAACTAAGCATATTTTATGCAATTCTATTTTAAAATCATTCAAAAGTCATTAAAATCTTTAATTTTTTCCTATTAATTAAACTATTTTACTCTTGATTATTTCTCTAACCATAAATCGTCTATGAATATCATGTTGTTCATAGAAAAAACCAAAATTATATAATTAAAATTATCTTCCTTTAAATGTATGAAGGATTTTAAAAACACAACCACTCATAGTTTCAACCACTGCTTTAAAATAAATAAATTTATAAAATAATTCTAAATTTTTATTCATAAAATATACTCAACTCATGCAAGTATAATCATCAATAAAAAACAAAAAAAACTTGTTATTATTGAATGAAGGAGTTTTCATTGGACCACAAACATTTTCATGAATTAACTCAAATAATGGCCTTGTCTTCTAATTTTTCTCAATTAGGAACAAAAATTTAGATTGTTTCTCATAAATACATCCTTCACAAACAGCATTAGTAACTAGAATTGATGGTAAACTATAAATCATATTCTTTTACTTTAAAAACATCAATGCATTAAAATCTAAATTACCATATCTCAAATGGCAAAGATATGAATCATCAGAATTTTTGATAATTATACCAACGTTCATCAATTTCAAAATATGAAGAAGAAACATTACTTTCCTACCTTAGGAATTAAAATAAGAGGCATATTCGTTTTCTTGCTTCTAATAACACAATATTGAAATGTAGAAGGCCTAAACTCAACAAATTATACAATAATTTATGAATGAAATAAACATCATTTAGCAACTTCTTTATACTCGATTTTTTTTGGACTTCAATAGTTCCAATACCTTCAATTTGAACACTTTTTTCATCTAACACTCTAATTTGACATTTCTTTAACGTGTCTAAATTTTGGAATAATTATTTTTCACCTGTCATATCATTGTTGCGTGCACTATTCAAAAATCATATATTTTTGTTGTGTGCACTGTTCAAAAATCATATATCATTGTTATTTGGCATTGGTATCATATAAGTAACAAGTTAATTAACTTCCTCCTTCACCTCCACTGAATTAATTTACTCTTGTCTTGTCCCAACAATAAGTTTCAATATGTCCAAACTTTTTGCAATGTCTACATTGTATAGTCTTTTAACTTAATCTTTATTTTTACCTTCACCTCTACGATAGTTTTGTTGTCAATGAGCATGTTTTTTTATAGCCTCTTCCATGAACACGATCTTGACTATGACCACAACGACCTCCATGACCTTAACTGCCTTGATGTTGATTAAATGTGACTTCACGATCCATTTTTCTTTATGAGATCTCAACTTTGGCATAAAATGATTGCTCAAGAGATTTTTTAGAATATATATTAATCTATTTTTCATATGCCAACAATGAGCCAATTAACGCATGTTGTGAGTAAATAGATAAATCCTTTATTCGTCAGTTGTAGTAATAATATGATCCAATTTTGAAGAAAAAAATTCAAAAAAAAATCAATGATTTTTTTCCCTAAAATAAAATTTCTAAAAATTCTCATTTGATTTATAATGACATAAATAAGCAAAAGAAAATTCTAAATTGATTCACATGATTTCATAGAAAAAAATCTCAAATTATTTTTGAGTGTTTGAAGCTTTACTATTGTGACTTTGTTGTCACGTTGAAATTCTTGTTTTAAAATTTCCATGCCTCTACGCAAGTTTTAACTTTGGAAATTTTTGGGGAAAATTTCTCTGAAACAATTTATTTGAGCATTAGAGGAGCCTTTACATCCCTGTTGCAAAGCTCCTTCAAATCTGATTTTTTTAGTCTCTTTAACATGATCCGACATTTTCAATAAAATAAATCTTCTCCTTTGACAAGTAAATCTTTTGAAATCTTTTTCTTGTAGCTTACTTACTACAATAATGATCTACACCACTAAATAAAAAGGGATTCACCCAAAAACTGATTTTCATAAATACCTAACTTTAGCCGAATCTACGCAATAATAGGCTCCCAGTACGTGACAAATGGGACTCTAATACCACTTGTAGGGATAAAATCATAAAATTAAATATTAAATTATGCCAAAAATGGCTGCTCGTGAACCTTAAATCGAGGAGAAGGAAAATATTCTGCCCAACTGATTAAAATAAGAATAAATTTTATGTACAAAGGAGTTCATGTCGTACTTCCTCAGCGGGAGCTTCCATTGGTGGTAGCTCGCGACGAATGTGGATATAAGCCATCTCTGAAAAAGATGATAGTGACGTAATCAGGCAAAAAGATTAATAAAAACCCGTCAAGTATAAAGTCCTACACTGAATGCGTCACTAAACCATCTCTGAAGTAAACTTGATGAGCATACTCCAAACTAGAAAGAAAAAATGAAACTTTGGCAGTTACATAGATGAACGATCCTATGGCATTTGTATTCAATTGGCTCTCCATACTATCGATTTTATGTGCATAAAACTTTGGAGCTGCTAAGATGGGTAAACTCCGTTCATAAAGTCGGACGGCTACATTTACCGGGGAGGAGAGTACCAGAGGAGTGAGCAAGGTTGCCAAAAGGCTGAGCATCAGCCCTTCGCCAGGTTTGTGAACCAGAAGCTCTGAGAAGCGATTCATGTAGAGGAAGGCGATGGGGATGCCCCAAGCAGAATAGCCCGGCACAAGCCACCGGCTAGTCCTGCCGACGATCGTGCACGGGTACCTGTTTCCTAAAGTACCAGGGACCAGAAGGGAATGAAACTCTAAGAACTCCCATGAAGAAATCAGTAAGCTACTTGTTTCCTCGAAAGGTACCCAAATCTAAAAACACCCATGAAGAAATTTGCAATGTTCGGGAGTACAATAAGAGGAGATTTTCACCATTTATACTCGCGCACTCAGCCGCGAGGTCCATGGCGGATTTCTGGAATCCCACGACTGTCACCCGCCTTCCCCTCACCAATTCAGCAGCGTCGGCATCGTCCATGTTGGCGTAGTCCATGGAATGGAGGACTTTGCCATTGAAGACTTCGGGGCCACCCTTTGGTGGGAATTCTGGGATGTTGGGCACATCGCTGAAGCGTCCGATGCATAGAATCAGAAAATCCACTTCATACACCTGATTTCGACGATCCCAAACCAAATAAATTCAAGAACAAGATGCCCAATTCACCAATCAGAATCTGAGCAAAGACTAGTGAGGATTGCTGGGTTCAACCCCAACATGGCTTATTAAATCCGCCTAGGAGAAGAAAGACTTCGACATGCAGCAGAAAATAAAAGAAAGGGCAAAAAAACTTGGTTTTTATAACATGTGTAAGTTATAAACAATATGAGTTAATTTTATGCGCTCAATTTATTGGGTTTTGACGTCATCTGAGCTTGGAACCGATCCCAAAATGACACGATAAGTCCATTCAGCGTGATCGGCTCGAAAATTTTACAAATTCAATCTCAAAAATGAAAACTGGGCGAGACGGTGAGCTTTGGGGATGAAAGATAGTCAATCCCGAGAATTTATTAAATGAGAGATGGGAGCTGTTACCTCTGTGGTGGAATCCTCACCGGAGGCGTGTAGCATGGAGATTCGCCATTTCCCGGCGGAGCCACCACCGAAGGCCTCGCCCGTACCGGCCCAAAGCTCCCATGAGGGCATCTCCTCCCGAGACGCCGGCGTAGTCGATCCCGAGAACCTTTGAGTTGAACTTGATGTGGCGGAGGAGATCGAAGTGTTCGGCGTAAGCCTGGAGATAGTCAACGACCCGCCCGTGGCTCGGGAAGATCTCCGTCACCTCCTCCGACCAAGGGAAGTCGGAGAAACGGTACCAATCCCGGGGCGTCTGGAGCTTCGTCGACGCGAAGGTGCGCGTCCAAACTCCCCCGACCACGGCGCCGGCCTCGAAGACGACGGGGCGGAAGCCCTTCTCCTTTACGCTCTTGCAGGCCGCCAGTCCGCTCGCCCCGGCTCCAACTATGCCTACCGTCTTCTCCATCTCCGCAGCCGACAAAGCGATAGAGTTCGACAGACAGATCTATATCTATATACACATATATACAGATGGAGAGAGAGAGAGGGAGGGGGGGAATGTGATGGAAGTGAGGAGCCAGACTGGAAGCAGCGTTACGTGACTTGGATAGATTGTGGCTTCTAGTTTACATTGGATCACACGGACGTGGAAAAAGATCGATAAACTCCTTCAATCCATCGTCATCGACCAGCCACCAAATGCCCATTCTGCTGGAGATCAGAGGCATGACAAATTCAACGATGACGAACGAGCCCTCGATATCTTAAATTAATGTGGAAAAATAATGGAGATAATAATTGTGCCCGTTTAAATATTATACCTTTTAAGGGTAGGTGAAGGACTGTCTAATAAAAAAATGGAGAGTAAAATGGGCCTAGCCTTGCTACGGCCTTGTAAACTTCGTAGGGAGGTTGGAAATCTTCTCCAAGCTCGGCGAGATGGTTACGCATGGTCCACGCAGACAACATCTAGGAGACGGAGTGCGAGATAGGCCCATGAGGCAAGTGTGCATGGGGTGCTACAGTGGCATAGTGAGTTTACTAGAATGGGCTCGCTAACCTTGTAGGGACGTTCACACAAGGTGCTGTGAATGTCATTGGGTTGTCCATCTTAGGAACTTGTGTTATTTAACCTTCCTTTTAGAGGAATGGTTGAACCCCCTTATTAGAAACATGGCTGCAACTCATGTCCTAGTGCTTTATGATGTTAAGGCATCTCATCAAGGATTAGGGGGATTCAATTCATGGGGTAGAATATGAAATAACCGTGGGGGCTATATCTTATGAATAGGAAAGGATTGCAGCCTCATTGAACAAGCTGCCCTGCCTTTAATTATAATCATATGCTTGAGGAATTCATGACCCATTTGAGTAAGAAATAGTACTTTTGTAAATATTAAGACTGCTTTGTGTTGACATCCTTAAAAGCTTAACTTATTTTGATGATGATCATAAGTATGGAATGCTATTTTAGTAACTTTACAATTGTGGTATTACTTTTACAAATGATCTTGACTATTATGCATTGAGGAAGGTTTGTCAACTCTAAATGGTGTTCACTCAAAGATAGAAAAGTTTCTCACAATGATTGATTAAATTAAGAAATTCTTTAAGGGTAAAATGGTTAATATTTATGTAAAATATTTATAAAATAATTTAATGCAGAAAATCGTGTCATTGAAATATGCTATTAATACTCATTGGAAGGGTTACTAGAAGGGGAATACAATGCAAGAAAATGTGCATATAAACTTCAGAATTTTCATTTGATATGAATTTTCTAGTATCAATAGGTATTTCTAGAAAATGTTCAAGTACAAGATGTGACACATTTCAAACTCTTGGATGACTAGTGGGGAAAACCATTATGCTAGAAATTTAAGTAACCTAATACATTCTTCATGAAAGGAGAAACTTATGCTTACATCAAATGAGGGAATGAGAGAAAAATTTGATGTGATACCAATGTCCACCACCTTCTTACAAAGAATCTACACCAAATTGCTGCAACCTTGAAAACCTAAAACTCATGATGATTGTTGTTGCTCACGCCATTCAAGGACTTAATCCACTTGAAATTTCTCTACTAACAAAATCTTATCAATAAGCCTCTAAAGATCATAGAGCTAAAGCTTCTATGGCTAGTGATGCATTCTACTTTGTATTTACACTAAAGTATGTCTAAAGCCTCAGTCTATATGAGATTAGTATTAACCAATCTTATTTAGTCATTAGACTTGTGAATCTAGAAGAAGGGATGGAATCTTTCTTATTTAGCCTCTTAAAAATAGTTAATCTAGAAGAGAGGAGTGTGCACTCCTCTAATTTAGTCACCTAGAGCTATGAATAAGGATTAGGATATTTGCATAAGATCTGAAGTTAGTTGGAGTTATGAAATTCAATCGTAAAGTGACTTAGACTTGTAGTTTAGTGTATATTTTACTAAGAATTTAGTGGAGCTGAAGGAAGCAATAGTGAATGCAATACTTGAAGAGTGGAGTAGACATGGTGAAAAAACCATTATAGAAACAATATGCCTCCTACATTTTGATATAAGGAATGAAAGATGAAGTAAAAATCAATGAAAGGAAAATGAATTATAATTTTGCCAATTCATTACCCTTTTGGTTACATAATATCATATAAAATCCAAAAACATTGAGAACTTAAAAAACTCCAAGTGTGAAATATCAAACCCTCCAAGATGTCGTATGATGTCAATGTCATTTTTCAAAAGAAGAAATATTAGTTGAGTTCCTAATGCACTTTGGCAAATAAATTGCTTAGGATAGATCTAGTACTTTTGAATGATGGACTTAAAGAGTGGCTTACATCAAATTTGGATGAAGGAGAGGGACGATCTAATGACAACATATATGACTCAATGTAGGACCTATGAATTCATGATGATGACATATAGCCTCACATACCCTAATAATATCTTACATCTTAATGAATATAGTCTTCAAATAACATAGTAATAGATTTATGGTGTATAGTAAAAATTTGAAAGAGCATATAAAATATCTCTAAAACCCTAAACTTGTCGAAAACTATGTCAGGGCCCAAAAGAGCTAACCCATTATTAGGACCAGTCCTGTAAGAAGGAGAAGGGATCGAAGGGAAGGAAAATGATCATTTTGGAAAAGTAGGCAGGGGCTAGGGTGCCTCGAAACCCCGAACTAGGGTTCTAGTTCGTCTATCTCTCCCTCTTTTCCTCTTGTTATCCTCAGTGACCTCCATCTACTGGGGGGTTGGGTGGGGGTCTATGCATTTCCTTTATCTTCTCATCCAAAGAATAATACTAAATACCAAACTTAAACTAAATTATAGAAAACTCATATAACTTAAAAAGTGAGGTTTTAGCTACTTTATAATTCTAAGAAAGTGCTCAAGATCTAGGTGATATATAAGTTTGCCACCAAGAGAGGTGTCTTGAATGGAGTAGAGATGAACGCATGGATGAACAGTAGAGAGTGCTGAGGGAGTGGACGGCTTTTTGGGGCTTGACCGCGGCTGCTTCAAGCATTTCTCATCAGCTTGTATAAGAGCTGAGGCGCAAACATGGGTGACCCAAAACATGCTGTGTCCAAAGTAAGACGTGAGGAAGAACAGTCAACGGCTACGACATCCCATGCCGGCAGCTCCCGCCTGGGTGGTGACCAAGGCTAGTCTTCGATCGTGATTCCCTCAGCGTTGGCAGGCTCTTCGACCTTTCGCCCCGAGATGGATGGTGGTCAAATGCGCGGGTTACTACTTAGAAGCCCACAGAGCTCCATTCATCTCAGGCAGATTTGTTCTCGAGTCATTAAAATCCGACGGCCAGGATGAAAGCCAATGCCTCACGCGGATCGACATTCTTTACCGTCGATAAGCCTCTTATCCAACGGTCTCACATTCCCCAAAAAATTTCGATAGGAAAAGGCTGCGGTTTAGACCGGGAAAAGGGGCCGCTGGCGGGTCCTGCGAACTTTCGAAAATGCCAACCAGTTGTACCTATATATAATGACGGCCACTGCCGTTCATTGGCATTCGAATTCTCCCGCTTCAGAACCGTTTCTGCGCGCGATCTACCAAGATTTGTCTGCTGCAGCTTGAGGAAGATGTCTGGGCGTGGGAAGGGAGGCAAGGGGCTCGGTAAGGGCGGGGCGAAGCGGCACCGGAAGGTTCTGCGAGACAATATCCAAGGTATCACCAAGCCTGCTATCCGTCGCCTGGCGAGGAGGGGCGGCGTTAAGCGCATCAGTGGGCTCATCTACGAGGAGACCAGAGGAGTGCTCAAGATCTTCTTGGAGAACGTCATCCGCGACGCTGTTACGTACACGGAGCACGCCCGCAGGAAGACCGTCACCGCCATGGATGTCGTCTACGCGCTCAAGAGGCAGGGCCGGACTCTGTACGGCTTCGGTGGTTAGATCTCCCAGGGAAAGGGGGAAGTGCCAGGGCGCCTGCTATCGTTGTTGTTGTCTTCGGCCGATTTTATCATTCTCCTGTCTATGATTTATGTAACAACTTGTCTAGTCTCCATCCCTGCGGCGAGACGGCGTCAATCGACTTATCTGGTGCCTAATATTTAAATCTGCAAGGCTCGATCGGCTGTTCGTCATGGAATGTCAATAACTTTTTTTCCGTATGGTAGATCTGAATCATTTTCAGTGAACGTCGTCGTTCTGAGATAACGCGCATCCTGACGTTGTATCTGGTAATATCTGCTTCACCAGTAATCAGATGAAATACATATCGCAAGCTTTTGCAGTTGCAAATGGCGGATTTCTTCATATGTTTCAACTGAAACCATAACGCTGGCTTCTAATCTTTCCACGATTCTTAACTGCAACAAATCTGGGTGATATTCTAATCAAAATATATGTTTATTTGCAAGTACGGAGGATTCATCGATCCAGGAAGCGATTCATCGACGTCAATTAAATTTAGCGGATGTACTGTTTCCCTTGGCGTCCGTCGTTGCCAGAGAAACCTGGTACGATTACCCACGGATGGCGACGGACGACAAACTGCTGTCGACATCCGTGGGGCCCACGTCGAGGCGGCGGACTAACGATGCTTCCCCCGCCTGCCCAAGTTTCCTGGCATGAACGGTAGAGTGTGGCCGAAGTAAGTGGTTGGGAACTCGCCAGAGGCACCCAACCAGCCGACGTGGATCCGATTTGCCAAATGATCCACTCTTACTGGAGTGGCGGACCACAGGAGGGCAGAGACAGGTGGCGACTTCTGGAGCCTCAGGCCATGGTTGCTACGTGGCGAGCATTGAGGCCAAGTTCCACGTTTCACACAATCTGCTGTCCACGTTCAACCAACTCGGATGCCGTGGGCGCTGCGTGACCAGTCGTGCGCGAGGCCACTTCTTGAAAACAGATTCTGCCCTGGTGGCGCTGCGTTTGCCACGTCAGTTCCCCAAATTCTCGCCAATCGTGGCCAGCCTCTAGATCGCTTGACGTGCCAAATGGAGGAAGGATATTTTTTCTAGGAGAGGCGGTTCCGACATGAGAGAGAGAGAGAGAGGGACTTCGTCGTGGCCTAGAACGTTCCAGACTTATAAGACGAGGCGGCTACAGAAGAGGTGAATATTTTTGCGAGGCTGAAGCGGGAGAGACTTCTCCGTGGACTGATCGGTCGAGGAGGAGGGAGAAGGTTCGAGTTGTAGCTTGGTTTTTTCGAGGAATCGGGGGAATGGGGGTGGTGGAATTGAGCGAGGGGACGGAGAAGGAGAAGGCGGGAGAGGAATACGGCGGCCGGGTGGTCAGGTGGGAGAAGTTCCTGCCGCAGGTGTACGTGAGGGTGCTGTTGGTGGAGTCCGACGACTCTACTCGTCAGATCATCGCTGCGCTTTTGCGTAAATGCAATTACAGAGGTCAGGGATGAGAGTTACTGAGAGATCGTTTTTGCCTCTTTTGCATCCGGAGTGTCCTCAATTCTCGTTTCTGATGTAATTCGAGATGGTTTGTTAGCACGATCGATACCGTGCTGCTTCTCTGCTCATCTTTTCCTTTCTGTGATTTTCTTTCTCGGGATCTTGTTAATCCATAGATTACGTCGTTTCTTCTTCTCCTAAATTTTGAAACTCTGATTAATGCAGATTGTGGTGATTGTAAAGCTGTTTTATTATAGTTTTGGTGTCTTGTATTTGACCTGATTTTCGTGAGTGGCGTAGATTTGCGATGCCAGTAACTTTTATCTGGCAATCTCACGATGTATTTCGTGTTAGTAGCACACGTGTTTGTTTCCGACTAGAAACAGATGTCATTGATTCACTCAATATTCGCAAGTTTAGGAAAGTCCTTATCGACTATCGTAGATCCGATGTTCAGGAGATTCATTTGCATTATGTTCTCATTCTTCTCAGTTTATGGGTGCGTGAGCTTTTACCTCATCAAACAGAAACGTATCCATTATCATTCTCTGCTTTTAAATATCTCGTGGAACCTATTGTTACTTGCTTGCTAACTGAAATATTGTCTCTGCGTCACAGATTTTATTGTCCAAACAGTTATCCTGTTCTCGAAACCTTTCTATCAATGTTCCCGGATCATCCGTGAATACTGTTTATGTTTTATAATGCCATCTTAAGTAGACAAAAATAAGCAGAGGATAGTATGCTTTCTTTGGTAAGGAACCTTTTTGTATCTCACTGAAAGGGAACATATTATGTTTCTGATATTTGAGTGGATTCATTGAACGAACTACAACAATCGTAGAGTTCCAGGAGACGAAATTTGCGCTAAGACAAATCTCTTTCTTCTTATGACCAGTTGCTGCTGCTGCTGATGGATTGAAGGCATGGGAGACACTAAAGGAAAAACCTCAGAATATAGACCTTGTTCTAACGGAAGTTGAGCTACCATCGATGTCTGGATATGGCCTTCTTACAATGATAATGGAGCACGAGACATGCAAAAATATCCCAGTGATAGGTATTACTGCATGATATTAGGTTCGCATGGTTAGTTGCAATATGACATTCTGAAATTAATTCCTGCCTTGATAAATGCAGTCATGTCCTCACATGATTCTGTCGATATGGCTTTCAAATGCCTGTTAAAGGGTGCAGCAGATTTTCTTTTCAAGCCAATCCGAAAAAATGAGCTGAAAAACTTATGGCAGCATGTCTGGAGAAGGCACTTGGTATTACCTCACTTCTAGTTCGAAGTTAGTACTTGCTTTTTCGGCATCTTTGTGCTTGCAATCTCATCCATTTTCCTGTATTTCTGTTGTCAGTCTGATGGTCTAGCCAGAGATACACATGAGCTTAAAGATGCAAACCTCACTCAGAAAAATGATGAATCAGATAACGAGAAAAATGTTTTTAGCGATCGTTCAAGAGACAATACTGCTCTCCAAGACAAAAGCAGTACATACAGAGCGAACGGACGCGAAACTCAAGTAATTACTCTTCTCAAAATATGTTTTTTTTTTTCTGTCTTCTGCGCAATCCCTGATAAGGGAGATGTAAGGAACTGATACACGGCAGTTGTCTTAGAGATCTTCATAAAAACCATCTCATATAGTGGGTAAATCATGCGTTGAAAAACAAGGGCCATATTTCTCCTGTAATAATCAAAATGCAGGATGCATTTCGTTTCACCAATGTATATATCCGATCATCATTTTCGCGTAGGGCCAGTCATATTCTGATATTCGTACTGCATAGTTCGGAAAAGTTGAGATTCTCTGCACAGATTTTTTATTTTTTTCCCTGCAGATGCTATATATATTTTTGCCACCTATTTCGCAGAACTCCTGTACAAGGCTAGATATTAAAGTTGAGAGCACATACCTGCAAAACGCTCGGGAGAATATCCAGCCGGATTGCGTCAGCTCCTCTGCTGGCAATGACCCGAGAACCCACAGAGATGATGTGCGCGGTAAGTTGGCTGAAGAGTTATCTTCGAGTGAATAGGTTCACATTTTTCGTCAGTTTTTTGGTTATGTCAATTTTACACCAATGATATTCATTTACTCATGAAAATATGGAAAAATATTTTTTTCAGATAAGTCAACAGAGTTGGTTATAGAAGCGGCGTGCTCTACTCAAGCGATAAGAGGAAGAGAAGATCTCAACTCTGGAGTAACTTTCCAGAGAAGTTTTATGTCCACTGGTTGCGTGGGGGAAGACATGTTCTGCGAGCAGAAACCCTTCAGAGAATTTGATCTGATTGGAGCCATGGATAATCATACACCGTGCGATCATGGGCCCAAAACCAACCCTGAACGTCCAGATGATGCCTCCAACAATGGAGGGACCCTTGCTGCTGCGAAGGATGAAAATTGGAATTTCTTGGAGCTCTCTCTGAAAAGGCATGCGCTTATTAGGACCGACAACCAAGAGAAGGATGAGTTCAATGCGTTAAACCATTCAAATTCCTCAGCCTTCTCCAGGTGAGCCTTCTCAAATGATTTACCTTTCTAGCTGTGTCGCAGTGAATTCACTGCCTGTCAAGGGCACTTAAAACGAATACCATTGATTATGGATGAAATAAATTTCTTAACTAATTATACATCCCATCCGTTTTCACTTGTCAGGTACAGTAAGACGCTGTCATCTCCTCAAAGCGATTTGAGAAAAACAGAGCTCAAAGATAACACCAAAGATGCCAATGGCCAGTTAAGAGACCTTGGCCTTTCCCAGAGTAGTACTTCTCAGCTCGATGGGTCAATATCAGATGCGTACCCGCAAGCCGTCGATTGCCCAACTGCTAGCCTGAGAACTCAACGTGGAATTCCAACCTCTCATCTCGAGATCCATCCATTCCCCGTTTCTAAAGCCGGAACTGTTTACAGCCATGGTTCATTACTCCAGCCCTCGTTTTACACACAGCCAGGCTCTCCAGTTTGGGTTTCAAAGCCGACTAATCCAGAACCCATCCACTCAAGTCTCTCACACCAATCCGACCAAGAAACCCCCAACTCTGGGAAAGATCGCCGCCCTCACGGTCAAGATGTCGGCAAGATTTTGTACAAAGCAAAGATGAAGCACCCGTACAGGATAGAATCCTCGAACGAGAAGAGTCTCGTCTCATCCGTCACATCTCAGAGCGGAACTTGCAACCGCGATCTTGCATCAAACAATACCTCCGGGCTGGTGGACTCCAATCGCTCAATTCATAGAGAAGAAGCCCTGAAGAAATTTCGTCTAAAGCGGAAGGACAGATGCTTCGAGAAAAAGGTCAGAAACTTGACCCAACCCCCTCCCTTTCATTTCTCATCATCCATGGCAGAGCTTGTCGAGATCTTAATACTCCCGGTGACATTCCTATAGGTACAATACCACAGCCGGAAGAGGCTGGCCGATGAGCGCCCCCGGGTTAAAGGGCACTTTGTTCGCCTGCTCCAACCCCATCCTCAGCCTCTAGACGCGGGGACCTAGCGAAGCTCAGGTGACATCCCACCCTGATCAGCCAGACTAACGCGATGTGTTTGACTTCCCCACCATGGATTCAGTTCGTGTTCATATACATGTATGATCCTTCCGAAGTGTCTTATCTTGCTGAGTACTGAGGCTCGAGAAAACTAACCCCGACAGCTGGTGTACATACGGGATTGTTTTTCGCCCTGATACCTCCTGTAATTACACACCTTGTGATTATTCCAGTGTAGACGTACAGTAGACGCAAGCCATTTCCCTCTTTGTTTTGGTAAGGAATGGAATCGGCTGTGTATTTATTCATTGGAAAGCTCCATATTGCCTCTCATCCTCTATCCCCCACCAACCTCCCTACTCTGCCGCCATGTCCACCGAGGGAACAGCCGGGACAGAGCCGCCGGAGATCATCAGCGAGGGGCCCCGCCGCGAGAAGGCGCGCAGAGGCAACTTAGCCGGTGCCGCCCGCGCCATCTGGTGCGGGGTCCTCGCTGTCGTCCTCCTGGCGGGGATCGTCGCCCTCGTCCTCTACCTCGTCTACCGCCCCTCCAAGCCCCAGTTCACCGTGCTCGGTGCGGGCCTGTACGAGCTCAACACCTCCTCCTCCTCCGCCGGCCCCACCGCCGTCTCCGCCAGCATCCAGTTCACCGTGAGCATTCACAACCCCAGCGCACGGTCGTCGGCCTCCTTCGATCGCTTGGCAGCCTACGTGGACTTCAACGGCGAGGCCATCACGCAGCCGTCACCACTGCCGCCGCTGTACCTCAGCAGGGACGGCACCGGCGCGGTGTCGCCAGTGCTGGGCGGCGGGGGGGTTTCCGTGTCCGTCTCGCCGGCGGTGGTGAACGGCCTGCAGGCCGGGGAGAAGTACGGGGCGGTGGGCCTGCGACTGGTGGTGGCGGGGCGGGTCAAGTACAAGGCCGGACCTTTCCACAGCCCATGGCGCCGCGTGAACGCGCGCTGCGAATTGGTGATGGGGCTCAACAAGGGGGTGTACGGTCCGGCGACCCTCCTCGGCACCCCCGGCTGCTCCGTCGACATCTGATCGGCGGCGCCGCCCACTCAAAGAGAAAGAAAGGGATCACCGGAATTTGCTCTTGCGGTCATCGGATTCCGGTCGTCCTCAAACGAAAACGAGCAGGAGCTATTTCCTTTCCCAGCATAAAAATGGAGGCTTTTGTCGAGTAGCGAAGCAAGGGATGCCTGCCGTTAAGGTTTGGAATCTAAAAAGCCCAAAGCCCACCGAACCCATGGCAAAGTTGGAGTCGGGAAGGGCCGTAGTTCACGACTTTTCTGACATTCACACACAACTCACTCAACTTTTAGTGAAAGTGGAGTAATCTCACCTGCGTAATCACAAGTTTATTGATATTCGTATCAGCACAGTTTTTTATTTCAATAATCGTTACTGGGAAGATATTCTATCTTTCACATACGTTGGTTCTTATGTACGTTCAATCATAGTAATTGAGATATTTTAACCAGAGTTGATCGACGGACTGAAGAATAAGATCAAGGTAGCTTTGCTGGATTTTCGAATAAATGGAAAAATATAAGACTTACTGGTCAACCATCAACTCTAGTTTATCCCCGAAGACTATTTTTAAAATTAACGTATTTGGTGATGAAAGCCTAACTTTAAAATGGCTGAATACCTAAACTACATGATAACGTTCAATTTCAATATAAATAGTAATGAAATGTGAAGCTTATAATTCTTTGATTTAATAACTGCATATCCGAGTGTTGGGTTGGCAGATTTCCACTATTCTTAGATCGTTCTTCTTCTGGGCCCGACGTCAAGCCCACAAAAGAGGTTAAATGGGCTTGTTGGTTGGGCCATGGGCTATAAAATGGGGTACACTACTAATTCACAGTCCATGGCTGTAGGAGGTGCTAAATGGGTGAGGAATCATTTAAACAGCTTCTAGGTTGCATCATAAGATCAAAACGTTATCGTAACCTTTGGAACAGCGAATAAAAGCGGCAGAAGTAGGCCTTTTTTCCAATCTCATAAAGAACATCTGAAAATCAATCCAAAAAAATTCCCAGGGTTTAAGCTCTTTAACGGGTGGTTTAAGCCACAATATTTCCTTTCCAGATCCAATTATGTTTGCATTGAACAGTTTCTAATATGAAATTTTAATAGGGGAGTCAAGGGCTGAGCCTAACCAAACACTGTTGAGAGGATCCAGTTTTTGGTTTCATACTTAATGCTGAACTCACTGAATCCATTGACACCCATGATCCTAGTTACATATATTTTTCCCACGGATTTTCAGAACTTAGTCACAAGCCTGAAATGGTTTACCTGAAGACCAAAGAAATCAATAGAAGCTTCTTTTTGTTGGGTGTAATCTCATTTTAATTGGTATAAAAAGTAAACTTTTGGTCATAAAGATACATTTACTCCATCCATTACAAATAACTTTTTGAGACTAATAAGCCATTTTTTTTAATATCTATATATATATATATCTATATCTATATATATATATATATATCGCTCTCCACCAATTCTTTCTCTCCTCTTCGTTAACTCCATGTTCACTTCTATATTTTCTCCAAGTCTGAAGAATCGTGGGTTCTTAGTTATGCAAGGACACCATCAATTATTGTAAAGCTTGGAATATGCGTTTCACGTGTTATATTTCAGGAGTTTGAACTGTCTTTCTTGTTTATGTTAATGGCCCGACAAATGAGAATTTCTGATTCATATAAATATTATTTTAAGCATGACTTTTTAAGGTTATTCTAACTCTAACTCTTCATATACCGAGCAACCCGTATGATTGCTACCTGTCCAATCAATTAGTGTGCACCTTGTGAAGCCGATCATATGGGATTCGCACCATACTGAATATCTACATTTACCAGTTCAAAATTGACGAAGATATTTTATATGATCCGTTCATATCTATACAAGTTTTTCTGTCGAATCGTGAAGAGCCTTCAGATAATTGTTTCCAGTTTATCTCGGGTAAGAATCTTTTAGTTCTACGGTTCTGCTTGGCCTTGTCGAACCCCTAGGTTCTTCTTTTCAAGCTAGATCTCTGACCTGATGCCCACATTATTTCCTTGGTGGCCGACAGCAGGGTCTCCCATGAGCTAGTTGGACTGTCATCGTCTTCCTCTCTTTAGGCCAACCTAAGCTTCCCCACTGGAAGCGCGAAATAGTGGAAAATTGGCGGCCGAATATTTGCCGAACGGGAACAAACGAATGCTGCCAATAGGGATCCAGCGGAGCTCCTCGTCCGTTTACCCTACGAGTTTTGGAAAGGGGATGCTATGATCCTCGTTGACCTTCTGACAGAATAAATGGTGCCTGTGCAGTAGGGGTTGACCAGGACAGGCCGGGGAGGTGAGGCGGTGGTACTTGTGCTCTGGTACTCAGTCTCAGCATGGGCGGCCCATCGGAGGCTACTCCCCGCTATGGGTTTCACGGAGAGTGGTGCGCCAATGCAGATCGCATCGTCAAGAGCGTAGTTCAAAGTGGCGGACAGAGGAACCCCGGAACGGCCGCAGGTTTCATCACGATGCCCTTTCATGTGTGCTTCATCACGGTGACAGAGTAACGAAGACAGAGGAACCCCGGAATGGCCGCAGGTTTCATCACGATGCCCTTTCATGAGTGCTTCATCACGGTGAGAGAGTAACGAAATCTCCTCTCTCTTGGGGCTTTGTGAGGTAATTCCGTAAAAAATTTAGTTGGTTCATTCCAATGTTCATTGGCACACATTCAATAAGACGTAGTGTTTACATGAGCATACGTCATAAGGTTCGGTATGATATCAACATACCAGTTCTAAACAAATTAGTAATGAGAAGACTTAAAATCCACATCTCAGTGATATGCTTTGTGGTCGTTTTCCAGTGTTAGACTTCTCTAACAGATATTCCCTCCTCCATTATGACCCTCTTTGTAGGGAAATACGGCCACCATCCTCCTCAACTCCATGGCAAACAATGTTGGAGAGAAAGACTCCCATGCCAGATCTTCCCCCTCGCCCCCTCCTCTTCAAGGGTTTGATGCCATCTGTTCGCAAGGACTGGCTATTACAAAAGTGAAGAAATGATTACAAAGGCGTCTCACTCACTTAAACTTCATTAACCTGGGTTTAAATGGACTACTAACTTAAACATGCTATCCGAGCTGATAATTACTACAAAATTGCACTCACCTGATGTTGTACACAGGACAGAGCCAAAATGTTAGTATTAGCCCCATATTTGTCAATACAAGTTAAATATGTAAGTTGGAGGTTGGATCCATAGCCATGAATGTCAATAAGATGGTTGAATATGTTTAGCATCATTGAGAAAGCGGAAGAGAAAGCATGTGAGGTGTTTGTCTCCTCCTGGCACATCATCACCTTCACAGTGAAGGACAAAAGTTTACTGGTAAACCTCCTCCTCCCCCTATACTCGTCATCTCAACAGCTCACCTGCTCGGGTTTTTCTCTGTGATATATCATCCAGCGAAAGGTCTCCCTGTTTACTTGTCTTCCGCACTGAGAGAAGAGTTGAATATGCAATTACCTCGGGAAGCAGAGACGTCAGGGTCTGCCAGAGCACGGGGTCAACCACCCTTCTGCCGTCTCCTACCTTCAACGGTAGGCATCTGACCGTTCTTTGTACCCGAGGGAACCTCGTCACCCTCTCCCTTAGACATGTCTCAAAATCAGCTAACCATGCGTGCAAAACCTAAAACACGATGGAAGATGGCGAAATATGGTCAAACCATGTATGCTATCAACCCAAAAACGGCCTATTTCCTCATCCAATAGGTAGGTGTACATGATCGTTGGAAAGCTCATTGCACTTCAATCAGCCACGGCTTATACAGCCTCAGCTCAAGGGAGACACGAAACCGAGCCTGGATCTGGCCTACGAGGCTACGGTGAAGAAGATCCCGGGGAGGAGCAGTGACCCTCAGTCGAAGGCTCCGATGGACCTGGCTAGTCCGGAGGTCCTCGAGTTGGACAGCCTCCACTGTCGACTCACGTCACCGCCAAGCAGGTACTCCCCGAAGCCACAGGCATTATGATTGTCGAGATGAGCAGTTGGGATACCATCTCCTGCTAATGATATGTCTGGACTCATGACTTGGTGAAGCACTATCATGTGAGGAAAGCCGAAAGCAGAGTTGAGCAGACTAATCGTCATGCAAGCCTAAAATTGAATGAATTCAATGAATTTAAGGAAGAAAGGGAGAGAGGGAGGGCAGGAGAGAGAGAGAGAGAGAGAGAGAGAGAGAGAGAGAGAGAGAGAGAGAGAGAGAGAGAGAGAGAGAGAGAGAGAGAGAGAGAGAGAGAGAAAGTACACTATCCTAACTTCGGAACTTACCGATCTGTATGAAATATGTGGACGGGGTGCGAATAAACTCGATGAATCATATCATGTGATATTCTGACTTGGGCAGCATTTATGTTTCCACTGTACCAAGGGTTTATGCAAATCTATTGTCCCTTGTCCCACTGCAGGCAGATTCCCTGTCAACACACCTCCTGAATCCACATTTGGCTCACTTAAAAGTAAATTATAGTATCCATGCAATAAAACTTTCATGAATATTAATGAGACGAGCCTGACGCCCGGCTCAACGTGAAAATATGTCAAGCCCTCTATATTTGGGTGGGATGTATCCTTCTCAGCCCTAACGTTGACCCCTTCGGAGGATAGATCCTCACTCGGTCTAAATTTATATATAGAAACCGACTACTGGGCCTGATTCTCACCAGAATAGTTTCCACGCACATCTCCTACGTGGGAACTACCATGAACCCAAGTCATGTTGAAAACCGTAAAAGGAAATGGGGTGAGACCAGATCTTCAAATCCAGCGACCGTTAGCGAGGTTGAATCAATGGGCCGAGTGAGCCCATCTTGATCTGACCTTTTCTTGCCTGACTTTGATCATAAGTCTAAAAAGAAGACGACGTCCAGTCCGGCAAGAATGATATTAGCGGTTAGTCCAGGATTTGCTTCTATCAGGAGATAAAATCAGGCCCAAGAGTCAGTTTCCTCTCACTCTCTCTCTCTCTCT